ATATATAAGTGAACAAATAAACGAATAAGCATAAAGTTGAGGAAGAAGAAAATGAATGAAGTAAAGGCTGAAAAAAGAAACCAAAAAATTAAATCGAAATTTAAATAAAACTAAAGGCTACAATTAAAAAAACGAAAATGTAAATAGAAGATAAAAGAAAGTAAAAATAAAACAGAAAACAATCAACAAACATAAATATTTATCACAATTGAAAGGTTGTGAACAGAAACAACTATAAAGTAATAGTCGAAACTACAGAATTTACAGAAGACATCTGTAGATTTCAGAAAAGTTCAAGTTTCATAGATAAGTTCACCATCACGTCAACCTAAGTAAATGTATTTTTAACAGCAGCAATTCGTCAGTAGAAAGATCAAAAATTTTTCCTTTTACCTCATCATTGCTGTTACTTTAGCACATACTACTGACATAGAACTGAACTACAACAGAGCTGTTTCTGGTTTACATAATTAATGTTTAACAACAAATAGTTTTTATAATCAAAAAAAAAATCCAACTAAATATTAAAAACTCATTAAATGACAGTACAGAGCGAGGATATGCAAACAGAATTTTTCTAGTAAAGTCAACGTTTTAAAAGTTTTAATTATTTTTATAGAAAGTAGTAAAACAATTACAGAGGGCGTTAGACTAGCTGAAACTGGCAAAAAATAGCAGAACTTATGTAATTTATAACAGTTTAAAGCACACAAATTTAGGTAAACAAAAACCAGAAAACGTTCTCTGCAACTGTTACATGTCAAAAATCTCAACAACGACAAAAGATGGAAAAGAAATCTTTCAGCAAAACATAAACAATGGTTTCTGGAAATGTTAGTGTCAAAGAAAATATGTAACTGCGTAGACCGATGACAATTTTTTTCCCCCGTTTACTAGTTGTCTACCAATATTATGTATCAAACAAAAATTCTGTAAAGCAAAAAAAATTTTTGCACCATTTTATCAGTCAAATGACACCAAAAAAGTTCTTTTATAAACTCCTATATTTATATATTCGTTCACTCAAATTGAACTCTTTGAGTGTTTCCCAGAAGCCACTCAGCAAACTTTACATTTTGACCTTGCTATCTTTCACTGTTGCTGTTGGCCTTGTTCTGATTAAGACATTTAGTCTAAAAGTGCGGTAAATAAAACTTTTATGACAGCCTTACAAACTGATCAACTTCTTTATAGAGCTTTCTATTTGACCGTTATTTCTCTACTTTTTCACTTAAATCCCCGTCTTTTACAAACAGGTGAAATTTTGTAGACAGAAACTGTTCAGTTATTGAAAAGTTATGAAAATGTTATATTTTAAAATTACCATTGCAAGTTAGATGATGTTAAAAAGATCATAAAACTGTAGCTGGAAAAACTTAATTCATGACATGCTCAAACCAAAAAAACATTTAATCTACTTGCATGTACCAATACAGAACTTTTAAAACAAAAGTCTAGTTTAAAAAGCACGTACCTTTAAGCTCACTTACTGCCACCTGTATTTTAGTGCCAATCAGCAGCACTCTACTTGCTTGCGTTTTTAATTAGACAAAAAAATTGCCTTTCCTAAACAAACTATGAATGTATCTCAAACTTTAGAACCAGAAGAAATTGAACGAGTACGACATTACCTAATAAGTATTTCCAATAGCACTACTACTTGTTTACCTGTCCGTGCATTAGATCGTTCAAATAAACCACTTTTTTTGCTGTTTTCTTGTAATTTTATTGTGGCCGTTATTTATACATAAAAAACGCAAACAGTTCACAGCCGATGTACACAGTCTGTTGTCTTTTAACAATCAACAGAAATCAACAAAAATAAACAAATAAAAAAGAAATACAGAGGACAAGAGCAACTTTTTTATTATGAAACAAAAAACTATAATGCTCATTTAACTGAGTCAATTAACTTAAAGCCAAAAAATTGACTAAAAGTAAAAAAAAAGGAACATTTCATTATTTTTTTCAACTGATCCACTTCTATACCGTTGAAAACGTATACATTAAAACTTATGCGCTTGACTCTACAAGCTTATACAAAATAGTCAATTTTCATCTATTGCTTCATTTTTGGCTTTCACTTTCGCATTTGCCATTCAGCTGTATAAGATAAAAATGTTGCCCTCCTCGATTAAAACTGAACATGGCAAAATTAGCATATTAACAATGCTCAGACTAAGACTGTTATTATTTTCAAAAGTTATACACGGGGAAGCAAATAATGGGCTTTCTTGCTCTTTTTTTCTTGGAAGCAACTATACAAACAGAGAGTTATATAAGCAAAATAATAACAAAAAAAAAAAAGAAAAAAGAAATTGCTCAAAATAAAAAAAGATAAAAGAATAAATAGCAGAAAAAAACAATAAACTAGTTAATTATTTAGTCATTTAGTTCACTGCTAAACTACTGATTAGTTAATATTGATGTTTCACCGCACTGGATGAGAATACGGGTATCATCTGTTCTTCGTTTGGAGCTGATGGTGTATATGGTGGCGGTGGTGTTCCTTGGCTGATACGTGCTCGGCTTCGTATCGGTTCGCTACGTCTCCGTGCTGGTGGATAGAATGCTGCAGTTTCTGGCTCCAGTGACCTGTTAATAGTAATGGTTAGTTCAGCACAAATCACTTGTATGAGAAAACTTTTTTACAATTTTTTGTGTCATATGAGTTAAACAAATCACCGGCGTAAGTTTTCTACACGTTCTCTGGTAATTGGTACACCATCATATACCATTCGACGAACGTCTTCGTTTGCAACCGCCGGAACAAGCTCAGTGATTTCACGATGACAATCGAAGATAGCCTGACAATTTTTACCAAATGCGCGATAAGAATCAGCAATACCCTGAAAGGTTGAAAGCGGTAAATAAATACAAACGTAAAATAGATCTTCGTCGCTTTCCAAAAAAAAGAATCCAATGTTTGTCAAAGACAGGAAGGATTTTTGCAGAATGTTCCTTATTTACCTGCATGCCATGTCGAAATCGAAACATTTTTACCACCTCCATTTCAGCTCGAGTTTCATTCAAAACACGTTCAGCTGTTCGTTTTGTATGTATTACCTAAAAGAATAATTAGATTGTAGAAAAGAGAACAAAAGAAATTATATCCATAGAAACAATGTAAATGCGTAAAAATCTTTTGTTTTGAAGAAGCTCGTCAATTGTAGGTGAAATTTAATCATTTTTAATAATAATGTTAACAATAATAATAATAATAATTAATAATGACAGCAATAATAATTAATAATAATAATAATAATAGTAATAATAATTATAGTAACGGTAATACTCACTGTTTCAAGCTCTTGTCTTAGCATCGCTATTTTACCACCTTTACGTAAAAATGATGTACCCTTTTGTATTTCACGTTTCAATTTTTTTTCCCTATCCTCCAAAAACTGAAGTTTCTTTTCGGCGTCGTGTACCAATTTTTCAGCATCTGCTATCTTATGTAATTGCTGCAAGATAAATAAACATATGGTCATCTATTTAAAGCTGCAAATTTGAGTAAAAACTTAATAACATTATCTGCAAGAAAAAAAAAAATTGTAACACTATATTTTTACAGCTACGTTTGATATTAGCATTGAAGATAAAACCAAGTACTGCGACTAATTCCAACAAAAAAAAAAA